GTCCGCTGTCTAAAACACAGAGGGTCAGATCGGGAGTTAGTCTCAGCACAGATTAGACCACGATGTCTGCCTTTTCGTATTTAACCTCGAATTGTTGGACTTTAGAGTCATGAAGTACAGAAGAGGCCCTTTGGCCCAGCAAGACTGTCGTATCAATAACACAAAACAAAGTCCCTCCTCTCTGGAATCAATCTTGTGAACCTCCTCTGAATTGCCTCCAATGTAACTCCATCCCTCCTCAAGTAAGGAGACCAAAATTGTAAGCTACACTCCAGGTGAGGGCTCGCTAATGTTTTATACGATCGCAGCAACACTTGCATACTTTTATATTTGATTCCTTTAGCAATAAATTCCTTAGTACCTGCAGTACCTGTATGCTAGCTTTCTGTGATTCATGCACAAGGACACCCAGATCCTTCTGCATCGAAACACTCTGAAGTTTGCCTCCTGCCTTTCTATTCCTCTCAGCAAAATGAATCACCTCACACATATCCATGTTAAACTCCATCTACCACATTTTGGCCCGTTCACCTCGCCTATCCATTTGTAAATTTCTTATTTCTTCACTGCTTTCTCATCAATTTCCGTGGTCTCTTTTGTCTCTCTAAATGTGTCCCCCTGCATTTCTCTGCATGAAATTTGTTCTGGCACTTTTCTGCCAGCCTATCCATGCCCTGTTGTAATCCAGAGCATCATTCCTGCTTACTGCCTCACCTCCAGGTTTAAAGTCGAAATAAGTCCACAGAGGCAGGTATCCCATCACGGAGTCACCTTTTATTTACATGTGGAAAATCCTTGACACTGACCTGGCTCCCTCAGAGCCAGCTCTCAGAGTGAGCAGAACCTCTATCACTCCTGTTTCTATCTGTCAGCCAGGGCTCCCTGATTGAACCAGATTAACAGCCCCAATCGGGGAACTCATATTATATGAGGTCCACCTGGCTGACCTTGTTACAATCACTGCAAAAGTGTCATCGGCAAATTTTGAAAAGTTTGTTTTGTCTTCACATATCAAAGAAAAAAGAGTGGGCACTGAATCCTGCCTCCCATTCCCCAGTCTGAAAGAGAATTACATACCACACTTCACTGTTTTCTGTCCTTTCTTTCTGCCATTTTTTAAAACAAGCTGTTCATTGTCCTTCTAATTCCATGAGTATCAAGAGTTTTTCTAACCAAGTTAATATGCTTTTTTATAAGTTGTTGAAATGAGCTTTTCCCCAGTTGAGTATTTTTACTTTTAAAGTTTTTTTGGTATCTTTCCATAATTATTCTGAACCACATTGTGTTGTGCTCAGTATTAACCGGCTGTTCCTAAAAATAAGTCACTACATTTACTTTACTTCCCTAAACCAGGTTCAGTGCTGCCTTCATCTTTGTTGAACTAGAGACATAATGACTGAAGCAGTTTTACTGTACAAATATCAAAATGTTCTCTCCTTTCTCTTAAAGTGTACTTTTCCTGCTCTACATTAGGGTTATTAAACTGTCTCAATATAACTATTTTATTATTAATCACTTGTAGGGTGGATGTGTCTCTGACTGGGCCAGCATTTATTGCCCCCGTCTCTAATTGCCCCTTGAGAAGGTGGTGGTGAGCTCCCTTCCTGAGCTGCTACAGTCTATGTGCTGTAGATAGACCCACAATGCCCTTAGGGAGGGAATTCCAGGCTTTTGACCCAGAGACACTGACATTTCCAAGTCAGGATGGTGAGTGGAATGGAGGGGAACTATCAGGGGGTGGCGTTCCCATGTATCTGCTGCCTCTTGTCCTTCAAGATGGAAGTGGTCATGGGTTTGGCAAATACAATTCCAACTCTGTTACATGTTGAAATTTGAAACATATTTTGCTCCCTACCTACCTCTGAAACTTTGTAAAATCAAAATTTCCAACAATATTATGAGGTATCGAAACTTATAAAATTCCAACAGGACTAGGCAGGGTAAACACAGGAAGGATATTCCCAATGACCAGGGATTCCAGAACCAGGTGCCAATAGTTTAACAATAGCGGGTAGGCCATTTAGGACTGAGATGAGGAGAAATGTCTTTACCTAGCAGGTGGGGAGCCTGTCGAATTCTCTGCCACAGAAAGTGGTTTAAGCCAAAACATTGAATGTTTACAAGAAGGCGGTAAATATAATTTTGAGGGCTAAAGAGATCAATGGGAGAAAGCAGGAGCGGGGTGCTGAGTTGAATGATCAGCCAGGATCATGTTGAATGGCAGAGCTGTCTTGAAGGGCCGAACAGCCTCCTCCTGCTCCTATTTTCTATGTTTCGATGGTATGTTGGGCCATAATTCTTGGAAGAAAATGTAAGACTTACATCTGATTGAGGAGTGGAGGCACCGTGTCTGTGTCCCGACACATTTCACAATTTCCGTGGGATTATCGCATGTTCTGCTCAAAATCGATGGGCACACATAGCACTCAAGGCCGTTTAAGGTGGTGTTTGCTTCTTCTGATCAATAGGAAAGAAAACACAAGTCAGAGTCAGCTTGTCACCTCAGACACCCTGGGACAGACAGTGACCCTGGATAGCCTGTCCAGGGCTACAACATTGACTACATGCTATTCCCCCTCGTGACCCCAGAAGTCCATCGACCCCACTTAGACTGATTACGGTGGACTCCTATCAGGCTGCCCCTTAAGTTAACCATTCAGCTGAATCTTTGTGGGATTTGAATGCAATTTCTCACCTCGTCCAGAAGATGACATAGTCTCAGGTGGGGTCATAGCATTCCTGCTGTGCAGATAGAGTCATTCCTTCCCATTGAGCCAGCACCAAACCTTTGAAGAGCAAACAACCCAGACCCACTTTACCCACTGCTCCATTCCTGTAACCTCGTATTTACCAAGGCTAAATTCACCCAGCCTGCACATAGAGCCACATAGCATGGAAACAGACCCTTCGGTCCAACTCGTCCATGCTGTCTTGATTTCCCAAACTAAACACGGTTGTATTTTTTGCATTTGGCTCATTCTTATTCATGTACCCCTCCAGATGCCTTTTAAATGTTATAACTGCACTTGCATCTACCACAAAGGGTGACCTTATAAGAGTTTATAAGGTCATGAGGGGCATCGACAAGGTGAATAGCATGTGTCTTTTCCCAAAGGGTGGGGGAGTTCAAAAGTAGAGGGCACATTTTTAAGGTAAGAGGAGAAAGCTTTAAAAGGGACCTGAGGGGCAACGTTTTGACACAGAGAGTGGTTCGTGTGTGGAATGAACTGCCAGAGAAAGTAGTGGATGGAGGGACAGTTACAACGTTTAAAAGACATTTGGATAAGTACGTGAATAGGAAAGATTTGGAAGGATATGGGCCAAACACAGCTAGTGGGACTAGATTAATTTGTGAACATGGTTGTCATGGACTTGGTGGACCAAAGGGTCTGCTTCCATGCTGTATGACTCTAAGATTCTATGACTTTCTCTGGCAAATATGGAGGAGTATTGATTCAGCAGGAAGGTGGTCAGTTGTAATAAGCAGGAGATTTCCTTTTCCATGTCTGTCCTGAGACCATCAGACTTCATGTGGGTCGAGACTCAATGTTAAGGGTTTTTCATCTGACAATCATCAGGACATTTTCCAAGAGTACCAATCCAAGGTTGGGGGGGTGGTGTGGTGTGTTGGATTGCAGGTAGCAAAATGCATACTGTATGAGAGGAGAGTGCCAACTGATTGGTTGATTGGTAGGCTGTGATTGGTAGAGGCTTCACTATGGAGAACGCACATCCTTGGATGGTGGGAGGAAGCCAGAGCATCTGACAGAA